TCCCCCTCCCCCCTTCCCTATTTACAAAGACTTTGTTTCCATTTTTTCCTTTTCTCATATTTTTTCTCTGAAAAAAAATAAAAAGTTTTATCTCTACAGGCTGGTATAATGTATAACTCTTCCTCCTCCCTATTTGGAGGAGATGAGGTAGAGCTGGAGAAGGGATTTTATACTTTGCATTTTGTACCACTCTATTATACACACACAGACACACACACACACACCTTTTATTGAAGAAAATGTCCATCTAGTTGATGGCACTTGGGCAAGTTTAATTTTTAAAAATCACTTGTACTATACAGATTATTAATTTAACTTTCCTGGTACCAATTCTGATTATACAATATTAATGTTGCTGCCCATGATGTTGCTGAGATGCTCAATAAACTTTAGTTGCACTGAAAAAAAGATAGTTGTTCAAAATATTTAAAAAGCATATTTGCTGAAGTAATACTGAGCAAGTCCCAAGAGTTTATTGTGGGTAGACAGTATGAGGATGACTCATCTTCAATTTTTGGCCAGGAAAATGCAAATTGTATCTTCTTCTTGAATTAAGAAATCCACTATGCACCAGGAATAATTTCCCTTAAGATACAAATTTAGAAAATATCCAATAATCACAGTGTTACCCACTTACTCTAATCCTCTGTATCTGTTATTAATGCAGTGAATCTTGCAACTCTCTCTCTCTTCCCTGTTTTGTGATACTAGAACTGGACCTTATAAACATTTCTCCTTTGCCAGCTGGCATAACATTAAATTTTATCAATGAAAGTTGCTGCAGGGACACTGCAGTCTAAACTGGCTTCTCTTTCTGGTTCTGGTGTGCTTTTTCTCATTTGCTCTGTGGCGAATACAGTTAGTGGTATATGCATGCTAACTATGAAGTCATAGCAGCACTCATTAATGGCTTCCTATTATGTGTCACTGGCTCTTTAGAAGCTTAAATGGCACCCTGGTGGGTGGCTCCTCAGTAAATCTTGCCAGCACTTCAGCAGTCAGTTTCCTGATACCAGTCCTAGTACTCCTTAGTGAAATGCTGTCATGACCTCTCCAACAAGGTCTGCAGAGTAGCCTTCTTTTAAAATTTTTATTTTTATTAATACATGTTTGCAGTATATAGTGATTACATTGTGGGGAGTTGTATGTAACATGTATATAACATGCCTTATTTTTATACCCCTTTTCCTTCTATCCTTTTCTCAAATCACACCAAAACAAACCAAAAAACCAAGACAAAAACCAAGACTCAAAACCATAAACATAATCCTAAGCATAAATTTGTATTTTTGAGTTCAATAATTCAGAGAAGCAGCATGGCATTTGGGCCAACTTGTTAACTTACTACTTCCTGAAGCTGACTGTCCGTGTAGCTAAACAGTGAGTCAGTCTGGTGCCACAGGTTTATTGTTTCCTATTGCTCATTTCAAAAGGCTATATTAAATGAACTATTCAATGTGGTTATCTAATTCTTTACAGGAAAAGCGTCGATAAAGAGAGTTTGCTGGATTTGTCATAAGAGGTAACACATTTATGAAAAGACTTGACTAAGAGAGCTGTAATAAATGACAGAATTTCACAAATCACTTTGAAAAGTCCAGAAAATTCTCAGAAGGTAGATAGAGAATCACTAGCGATGTGAAACTCTATTTGTCTGTATGGATGTCATTCACTCATTTGATAAATATTTATTGTATGGCACTGAGACATAGTAGCAAAGAACACAGACAATATTCTAGCCTCAAGAAATTGACTTTCTGTGGTGGGGGAAAATATGTAAACAAATCACTTCATAACATAATTATAATAGATACTATATAACGATTATAAAGAATTATAAATTAAGGTAGAATGAGTAAGGGTGCTGCATTTGATTATTTAGCATTTTATATTAAATTTCTTACATATAGCATGCAATAAATGTTATAAAATATAACCATAGATACATATTAGTTATACTAAAAGGATAAGATTCACATAACTCAAATCAAACTGAAACTGAATATATATATATATATATATA